AAGCTTGGTCCGAAACGTCAGATTTCCCTAAGTAAAGACTATTTTATGCGTTGTCTTCCCGTTTGTGACTTACCTAAAGATTATATCATGATAAATATTATAAATCTTTAAATGGTTTTATATTTGAAAAAGGCGTGAGGCAATGAGAGAGTCTGAAAACAGTATTCAGATTGGTAGACTGAGGAGAAAGAAACAGATCAACGGAGAGTTGATAAGTCACCTGGATTAGTTCGTTAATAAAGTTGTACTGATTGAGAAAAGTACCATCCAAATGCAAGAAATTCGAAAAACGACAAAAAATTACAATCTGACTAAAAGTTCAATCGGTGGTAGAACAGGTACATATGATCAGGTAACCTGGAAAAGACTTGAACAACAATTAATTGTTTTCTTGTACAAACGATAGAAAGTTTTCTTTAATTTGCATCTGGAAGATCAGAAACATGCCAGAATATCAGAAGGCGGAATCTCGTATATTGAAGAGGAGGTTAGCTCAGGTTCATTCCTATTCATGAATTCCCTTGAGCAAGCAATTTAGCATGCATTGATTCAGACCGAGGTTGCTCAGTCGATAGAGCATCGAGCTCAGAACCAGTAGGTCATTCTTCTCGTTTTTCTTCTTTCTGAGTATGGTGGATCATTAATGAGTACCCCTCCGTGGAAAGGAAACAGGAGACTGCAACGCTTGCCCCTCGGCTGTAAACTGCACCTTTAAGAAAATAAGGCATTCGTGGCTAATCGCATAGGAACGGAGATCAGCGTTGCATCATAAAATTTATGAAAAGAAGGGCACCAAAATGGCCTAATTATGAAAGTGAAAAAAGTCAGACATTCCAACGATGAAAAACTTTCCTTCTACTATTTTTGGTGTTCGGGAAGCTCAGTATATAAACACGGTCCTACTTGTTCAACAAGTTAACACAGTCGAGTTGTTTGCGAAACAGTGTCGCAGAGACTGTAGAGAAATAGGTTAAAAATGGAAGTTGGGGATTTCGATCTGCGAGGTATCGGTATCATAGTAAGCAGCCAGCAAAGCGGAGTGAAAGATGTCATCGTGAAAAGCAAGCTGAACGATGGCTTATGGTAAAAGATCGCTTTTGTTGCCCTCTAAAATGAAGGGACATTTTTTGACACGAACGTGAGAAGAGTGAAGGAAGTTCTGTGATCAGCGTCATCTATTTGACTGCTGAATATATGTCGACCTGGGTGACCAAGCTGACATACAGATTTCGGAAGTGTGTGGCTGCCGTTGAATCGGGATTCAAATATTCAGCTGTTTTGTATGTTAATAGCTTTAATTTTCCATCGGGTAGGTGAAATTTGGCGTATTCAAATCCTGTTTTAATGTGTCTTCGGTAATACCGTGTTTGCGACTTGAGGCTGAAGAAGAGATATGCTAAACTGGTTGTGAATAACGGTGGCAAAGTCAGTGCACATGCGGATTTTAATAGTACAATGTGTGAACTCTCTGCTGCTCATCTGAGAGACGGCAGTAGGTTCACGTGTAGAATTTGATGTAGTCGCATCTCCATACTTAATTGAGTGGCATTAATGCGTCCTGCCTTGAATTGAAGTGGACACGTGGAAAGTTGACTCTGAGCCCCGGCGATGAAACGATCGTCATTTTCTATTTCTCGCTCAAAATGATATTTGCTTGATCAGACAAATGATGCGGACAAAACTAACATTATTTGCTGCAGCATAGCCACTTGTGGACCACTACTAAGCCTTTGTCGTGAAGATGGTTGTAATGAGTGCTTATCCTCCAAATGAGGACATTAAACGACTTCTTTTCTACCTCATAGCTGGTTTGCAACCTTGAGACAGAAGATCGTTCCGGATAGTGCGTGCTCAAGATGTAACCCTAATCCTTGTTGCTATGTTTTGAACAAATTGAAATTTCTGCAATATTTTTTGGATTTAATTCAGATCTAATAGCCTTATATGCTGAAAGCTTTCTTTGGGAGGTGCATCAAGTAACTTTTAATATAAGAATTTGTGTATTGTTTTTGATCAATGCAATGTCTGCTCATTGTTGGTTTCAGTTTAAAGTTTATATCCTTAAACGATTTCAGCTGACTACGGGATAACGCGAGATTTTCCGGCTTTCTCGTGCTGATTTCTTTGTTTGATAAAGACAGTGCTTTCGTTATGTTTCCTGGGAATAATGATCAGTGCACATAGGATTGACCAGTTGAACATAAGCATACTGTGGATCAGAGGTGACAGCTGTAGTGAATTTGGCACTGGAGCAGGGTGAACACGGGATAAAGTGGAGCTAGTGGATTCGATATTGAATAATAGCTTCATTAGGGTGGACATCCCGTTGAGAGTGCAGAAAAATACACATGAAAACAACGTTTCATCCGTCCCCTTACGCAGTCGAATGGAAGGCAGAAACCTCGTTCGCATATCCAGTTTTCTGTTATTATCTGTTTCGATGCGCAGCTGTCCTTTTGACATAGTGGCATTGACACAGTGGGCATAATTACAAATTGCGTTTTTCGTCAAGTTTTGCTTGCTTCAGGAAGCCGGGCCATTTGGCAGTGCCAGTTAGAAGAACTAAAAGCGATGTTCAAGTTAAGGAACCGAATATGAGTTCCAGTGAACTACCCGACGCTCTGTTTTGTCGGTGTTTTGGCAGTTCGACAGGGAAGACTTCCTCGCGGACTGCGACAGACAATTTTATAGGAAGTTATTCTAGCAGAACCGACAGCCAGCTAAAGTCAGGAATTGAAAGTGCGGGTAATGACTTGATTGCCGATCCGAATTACCATTGAATAATGACTAGTTTTAGCTGTCGATTACGATGATAGTCGAAAGTGCAAATCTAGGTGTCTAGGTGTCCTGTGTGTAGGCTCGACACGAAGAACTCGCAGCTACTCTTGGGTAGGCAGCGGCAGCAATGCAATCACCTGCGCTGGTCGCCACCATCATTCCTACTTGACTCAGTCAGACAACAACCGGGTCTGTGAGCCGATCGAACGCACGGCTCTGATGTTTGGGAACGGCATCGGTTTGGGTTCCAGAAGAAATTACGGTAAGAATAAAACGA